CTCTGAGCACCTAGCCTGCTGCAGCACCTATCTGCCTGCCCAAGTGTACCGCTGCGGCTCTGAGCGCCTAGCCTGCTGCAGCACCTATCTGCCTGCCCGACTGTACCGCTGCGGCTCTGAGCGCCTAGCCTGCTGCAGCACCAATCTGCCTGCCCGACTGTACCGCTGCGGCTCTGAGCGCCTAGCCTGCTGCAGCACCCATCTGCCTGCCCGACTGTATCACTGCGGCTCTGAGCACCTAGCCTGCTGCAGCACCTATCTGCCTGCCCAACTGTACTGCTGCGGCTCTGAGCACCTAGCCTGCTGCAGCACCTATCTGCCTGCGTAACTTTACCTAAGTCCCTACCTAGACAGCCGCAGAACCCATCTGCCTTTGTGCAGCATTGCTGTGCTCTCTGTCAGCTCACTGCTTGGAGTTCCCCGGTCTCAATCTTTTTTCCAGCTTATGATTCTTCTGCTCATCTCATTTCTCAACTGTGAAGTGCATTTACGTTCAAGGCAGAATACGCAGCTTTATTGTTTGAAGAATGTTTGAATGCCTGCTTTCATTTTGCAGCAGAACCTAGTCCCTTCAGTAATGAGGCTCAGGCAATACATCATTTCATGTACTGTACCTGTGAAGGAGTATACCAGCACACAGACCCCATTTTCAGGGTTTATATTCATTCATGCTTATTTTGTCTATACCACACAGAAGTGGAGAAGCTGGATGAGAATCTGTATGACAAGGCAACTGAGGATGAAGGGGCTAAAAAGCACTACTACTTTGAGAACCTGAAGATCAGTCTGCCACAAGTCAAGCTGAGTGTCTTCACCTCCCACAAACTATCTCCAGAGCTTAAGGTACTTTCATTTCTGCTGGTACGGTTGATGACCGGAAAGAATCCTGCTGCAATTAAAAGGAAATTCATTTTTTAACTGCAGTTATTGCATTTCCAATTTTTTTCAGTTACAACTGGTAAGGCTTTATGCCTGCCACAAGGTGGTGCAAGGATTTGGTTTTCTCATTAAATCAATTTGTGAGCATGCATCATTACAATGTTTTATTTAAATATGGATGACAGTCATTTTTTGTCACTATTCCAGTTTGTAATTTATTGGTAATATGTTTTTTTTTTCTTTAAGGTCATTTGAAAATGAGTAGTGTGTTTACTTCAATAAATTCTTCAGTCATATAATCTTAAGGAAGAATATTTAATGCATTTTCTGAGAGAATATTTGGTACCATTGCGATTCATTTATTTTTTCTTTATCAGTGTTCTGGAGTGTAGAAGAACACAGATTCAACCAAGGAGTGCCTGTTTCTCATAAATGAAGTTAGCACCAGTGTAAATACAAATGACTGACATTTTCAGTAGTTTTGTAAATTTCTTTCAGCCAGCATTTACCTAATATACCTTTTTATCAAAGCTTAAGTTTTTGCTTAATTGACTTAATGTTTGCAAGCCCTTTGGCTTTTTCTTGCAGTTTTAGCTATATTTTATTGAAGAGAAGTACATTGTGCAAATACAGAGAAAAGTGAAAGAGAAAAAAATATTTCAAAGAAGACATTTTTCAATATCGCAGCAGTAAAAGAGCAGAACAGGATGGAGTAAAGTGTCTCAGAGATAATAACAGTAAATGTTTTAGATAAAAAAGGGAAACGGCTGAGAAAGTTAGTGAATGTTTTATGCCATTGTTTACCAAGGAAGAAATTGACAATATATTCTACCAGTTAAAGTAGTAGTAGTTAATGAGAACATTTCAGATATACTGTAGCACTCATCAATATAAGGGCAGCTAATATTTAAGTAATTATCTAGCTTAAATTATTTCAATAATATAATTCTATACTCACTTTTGTGGCAGTAAGATTCAAGGGGATAGTCTTCATGGATTTGGAAATGGCAGGGTTTATCTAAACATGTACACGCAACAGCAATAATGGATAGGAATGTAATATGTGGTAGACTTCCAAGGTGATGCATGTGTTTGGACTATGAACAAGTTAATGGATAGGAAACAGTACAAACAAGGGGAGATTGGAGAATAGTTAAATTGGAGTGATGCCATCTGTGTCAGGACCACTGGTCTTTCTAAATTATATCAATTGCCTGTATTCTTGAAATGCAGTGATGTTTGCAGATCATTCCAAAATAGGCTAATTGGCAAGCACTGTTGAGCTATAAAGGAAATCTAAAATGACTTATTTAAAACTCAAGAGTGCGCAAACAGCTGGCAGATGATCATTACAGTATAGAAGTGCAGAGTATTATATGCAGGTAGCAAAACCATAAACTATTGATTTAAGATGGATAACACAGAAACTCAAACTGTGAAAATAAAAGTTTTTGCGTTGATCTGACGTTTTCCTCTCCAGCAATGTGAGGAAACAATTACAGTAAAAGGAAAAAATAATGTTAGGATACAGCTTTAAATCAGTCATTTAGACTTATTCTGAACCAACAGTGAAATAAGAACCTGAGAATGCAAATGGACACAATGGGAAAAGTCCATTTATAACTGAAACCAGGAAACATTTTTTACACAAATGAGAGGGTGGAATAGGCTACCCAGCCTTGTTACTGAAGCAGTTACCTTTTTTATTTTCCAAAACGTGGAAAAATGAGAGTCTTAAACAATCGGCTACTAGCTGCCAGACGAGTTAGATAGACCAAAGGTCCTCCTCTTATTTGCAAGTTTTATTTTATTTGCAGGCACTGAAGGGCACCCTTGGGTTCCCACTGATCCGTTTTGAAGATGCAATCATCAATATGGATCCCTACACTAGAGTGCACCCTTACGAAACCCAGGAGATCATCATCAATGACATCCTCAAACACTTCAAAGAGGTGAGTGTGGCAAGCCAGTGCTTGACAGTTCTGTGTATACATAGTTTCACTGCTTTTTGTGGATTAATTGCATTGCAATGACTTTGTGCCCCACATTTTCATTTTTGTAAGATTTAAGAAACCTAAAATAGAATTAGATCATACTGCAAAAATGTAAATTATATTTTTTCACTGCTTAACTTGCAGTGCTGTTTGTGAACTCTAGACAGTGTATCCCTATAAGACTGACTTTACACCAAGCAACACTTTCATGGCAATAAATCAGCAAGGCAAAACCAAACAATATATTTGAATTTTTAAATTATGATGTGTCTTCAGATGCTGTGCGTTTCAGTGTTTGTATATTCTATGTCGTTACATGTTGGTAGCTCTTTCCCTTGTTAACATGTGTCCTTGCGTTTTATTTCTTCCTTCTCAGGAGCTGATTGGCCAGGCAGCTCAGATCCTGGGCTCCGTAGATTTCTTGGGGAACCCCATGGGCCTACTCAATGACGTCTCCGAAGGCGTCTCCGAGCTCATCAAGTACGGCAACGTGGGGGGCCTGATTCGCAACGTCACACATGGGGTCTCCAACTCGGCTGCCAAGGTAGGTGCCCCAGCGAGCAGCCCCTCACAGCTGTCCACAGAGATATCAGATGGGGAAGAGACGGCTTCCATTCCTACTGTGCGATTATGAGATGTACCATTGTAGCTGTGAGCGGAAAGAAATGGAAAAGAAATATAGCCAGTGCTCTGTGGTGGAATGGGGTGGTTGTGGTCAATTATATACAATAAGGCACTGATGCAGTTGCTGCTATTTGATGATTTTTGTTTTTTACTTCCCTGATGGCGCTCATTGATGTTAATGAATCTGCTGCTGAGAACAGAGGGAAAAGCTGTGCCTTATAGAAGCAGCATAAACAACAATAGTTGCTAAAGAGTTTAGGTGCCTGTGATTGCCATGGCAAAAGCTCTGAGCCTGACAGAATTTATTGCAAGACCAAACACCCAGGGGTGGATTGTAGTCAGGTCTTTGCTGTGGTTAGGCCATCACCCCCAGCCCCAGAGAGCTCGGCTCCAGCAGGCCTTTTTGAAGTTGAGGACACAGCTCTGTGTGCCTTGAAAATCCCTCTCTTTCAAGAGAAGCCTGCTTAGTGTCAGCTCTGTTTTTTTGTTTGTTTTGTTTCCGTTTTCTTTCTCTTCATGGTAATTTATTCCTCATTACAGGGAGAGTAGATGGAATTGGCCACAGTCAGCCTGGCAGACAAAATGAGGGATTCTTTTTCTACCTCCAGACTGAAACAAGCCAAGCGATACGGTTTCTGGCCAGGCCAGACTCCGAACTTGTTGTTGTGTGATTGATCAAGCTCCTTTAAACATTAAATTAATTTCCCAGTAATGTTAATCAGGTTCATATCTGAAAGCCAGAGAAAATGCAGAGTTATTATAATTTTTTTTATAAGCCTTTGCCTTTGTTTGCTATGCTGTTTTTTTTTTTTCCATCCATGACAAAATAAGTGCATTGCACCACTTGTTGGTTAATTAACATTTTATGTTAAAACACTTTTCCAGTCCTGGAGTGTTGCTAATTTCTTTAAAGGGTGAGTAAGTCAGTTATAAGCTATGCTAAAAGAGCTTTAAGATGTTTTCTGATTTAGTGTCAATATTAATTTTGAATTGAAGCACAATTGGTAATTTTTGTTGGGAAAATGGTTTTGCTTGTCTAATGAAACTGAAATCAAATATCTCCCATTTCATCCTCCACATTCAGTGCAAATATGAGAAAAGGAGAAAAGGCCTTGTAAGGAATGCTTGTTGTTTTTTTTTAAATGTGGCCCCCAGCAGGGTTTTGCAAGGCTGAAAAATTCTACCCTCTGGGGACTCCTGTAGCGTCCACCATGCTGTCTGTAAAACAAAAGTGGTTCCACAACCAAGACTCTTATTTAACAACCACTGTTCTGCATTGTAAAAATTCCATGCAGCAAAGTTTAATGGGAAACCAGTTTGAAAAGGTATTCTGAGGTATCTTAATTAAATAGCATACCCAGTAGTGCTTTGAAGGGCCACTTTTGGGGAGTAAATATCTCCGTATCTTTACACATCCCTAAAGAATACTTCGTATTTTTGCTTCTCCTCGTATTGCATTGATTGGACAAGGCTGCTCAGTCCCAGGGAGCTCCATTTATTTTTATAACCTTGGACAGTCCTCTGTTGGCCTTGCTTCTGCAGGCCTTTTTGTTGAAGTTAATTATATTTTCACGACCCGAGTGGGGAAAGTCAGCTTCTTTATGAGCGGGTCTGCTGTGCTCATTCTGTGGTCAGTGGCTCTGCTTAATACCTTTCCCAGGTTTCTCATGCAATTTAGTTTAACCAGTGTTCCATTTTAACTATTTCATTGCACACACCTGTTTTTTTTAAATAGTCAATTTAAAATGATTCTTACTTAACTCAGTTCTCGCCCTTGCTACCCCAGTATTTTTGATTGCTTAATGTGACTCTTAATTGAACTAATACCGTGATTAATTGGATGTTTTTAAATGTTTTCTGTGTCGCAAAAGTGGCAGTTTTCAAGTTACATTTATTTGTCGGTATGTGTAAAATATCTTGTTAGTAAATTGTTTGTTGATGATGGGATTCAATTGAATTATCAAGAACTCATTAGGAGCAAAAACTAAAGGGTATTAGGGCCCAAGACCCAGGATTGCAAAGTTCTCATCTCTGATAGCATTTTCTTATTGGATGGTTTATGTTTTTGTTTTTTGCACCAAAAATATCTCCACAAAAGGGTTCTCAATCCTTGTGAGAACATGAAGTGTTGTGCAGTCTTCGGTTCAGTTGTCCAAGAACTTCTGAGCTTTTTTTTCCTGTAGATTTGCCTCATCAACAATACTTCATCGCAATCAACTCTAATGAATCATTTCAGAAATTGTACAGTATATGCGTCTGCATATACGTATATAAAATATGAGGAAATTTATGTGTAAGGCTTCTATCTTTAAGTGTGTATTTTTAAGTAACACACCACCTCCCTTTAAACTGTAACCACTGCTTTTTAAGCAATCTTAGTTTCCTAATTAGGAAAAAACCCTAAACGTTGCCTGATTTTAGATTCTTCTTGCAAATCATTAAAACTGTAAGCTCTGCTATTGTGTGTTTCAGGTCCCATATATAAAGTACATACGGTAGGTACTTAATACTGAAATATTATTTGTCAGCAGATCTCTTGTACAATGTCTGACAAAGAGGTACAAATACATACTGAAGTCTTAATGAGGTTACAACACAAGATAAACTGATTTGGAAATGAGCTATCAGTATCGCCCATCAGGCAGGTTCCAATTACAAATAAAGGAGAAACAATCAGCAGTTCTGTCAAAATATGAACTTAAAAGGAACTAACCTTGTTTTAGAATTATTGAACATTTGTGGTTTTCGTTTGAAACCCAAAATATTATATCACAGCTATTTTAAAGGAGGTGTCGCGCGATGATAAGACCCAAAATCAGATGCCCTTATTGTAAGGTATCTTTTCATTATCTCTTTGAGTTTCTCCTATTGCAAATGAAGTGTTTACGGACTTCCCACAGTTCAAGATGCTTTTGTAATGGAGCACATTCTATACAAATGAGTAAAAGTGTAAAGTGTACATCCCCAAAAATAATAGTCTCTAACTGCTCATGAGTGTTTCTGTTTGAAGTTTGAAACTTTTAGAAATACTTTGATAACAAGAAGATACTTTGAGAAGGAGGGGAAAACCATTTCATCTATGCAGAAAACGATTGATTAATGTGCATAAATCGCAAAAACAAATCATGTACCAGAAGGGAACATTAAATAAACATTTGGGTTTTTTCTCAGCTCCCCAGTATGGTCACATTAACAATGGGCCTGGAAAATCCCTGAACTTTACAGAACTGCTGCTTCAACAGCGATCCTCAGGGAAACCCATCTTTTCCAGCTTTCTGTTTCCTTTCCCCTAAATAATAACGCTCCCATTTGCACCTCTGCAGTAGTTATTATGTGTGACCTCTGAAATGTTCCATGTTCAGCCTCACTTTAATGAACATCCTTACCGTCTGTTCTCAGTACGCCATACGTTCACCTAAAGAAATTACCACCCCAGCAAGGGCATTCTTGAGGTCTGCAGTGCCTTTCCCCTCATAAAGGATTTACCTCATCAGCTGTCTATGGAAAGTTCACCTTAATCTCCCCCTTTAACTTTTATGAGCAATAAACCAGTCCTCCTGTCCCTCTGATCTGTCACTGCCCTACTTTAATGAGTCACTAAACTCCTCCAGCTATGCCCTAGTCCTACATGTACACCCCATGCCCTCTGTGAAGACATGGTAAAGCTGTAAACTTGAAAGCACTCTCATCCCCCAGTTCTCCTTCCCCCTGAGAGAAGGAGGATGAAGGAGTGGATGGAGGGGGGTGGCTGGTCTCAGATCTGGAAAGTGTATTGGTTTAGTTTTTAAAAAAAGTGCTGGCCTCCAAATGAACTCAACAGGGACTTTGCTTGCTGGGGTCATCCCAAGTTCAGGCCTTGCTCTTACTGACTCTCTCTAGTGCTCGCTGTTTATACAGAACTCAGGGCTCCAGCAGGGATTTTACAGGGCTGGTAACACAAACCCAGTTCCATCAGGCACCTGCTGGAGTCCCTTCCAGGGGGGTCTTTTTGTTGTTTTTTTTGAGTGGGGGGGGGGGGTGAGTTTCTCTGAGCAAGATCAGGTCAGCTTGTGGGAAGAAGAGGGATGTCCTCTGAGACAGACCAATTAGACGCTGATATATTAGGCAGATGGGGAAGATACACGATAAGGATCTTGGAGTTCAAAAAGTTTGTGAGCTTAATATGGAACAGTGGAGGTGGTATTTTTTTATTTTAAACTCTTGTTCCTTTTCAACTTTCTGTAACCCCCTGCACCATCATAAGCTCCCTTTAGAGGGTCACTGGGAGAAATAAATGGACCTCTTAAAAAAACAAGCTTTAAAGCCCCTGAGTGTTTTGTGTGGTATCAGTGTGGAATAGCGAGTACCGAATACTTCCTTTTTGCCAAGTGTGGGATTGAAGTTTGATTTAATTTGGACGTATTGTTTTTAGGCATTGTCATAGTAGCACTCAATAAATAATACCTCTTTAAATGCAAGCCTGACATGTTTCTGCTTGGCTTATGCTGTCTTAATTGTTTTAACAAATACTGTGGATACTTATGTACTCTGGGATATTTATTTCGTATGTCCAGGAAAGCTCCACTCCATACACTCACCAGAACAAATGTGTTAGATCAGAGGAATCTAGTCTTCCACACTTGTTTATCCAGTTGTTCAAACCTTGTATTGATCCCAGAACTTCATAAAGCTGTTTTTGTTATTTGTTATCGCTGTTTACTTCTACTACTTTAGGATTCTTTAGTATTTACTTCTCAACATTTTCAACACACCCAATCCACTGAATCGTCAGAGCCTTAGACATTTACACTTGCTCTGTTAAATGTGTGTAGCTTCTATTTTCACAGCAAGGCCAACACATTTTAAAGAGAACAAATGTAATTTTGTACTGAACAGTGGTAGCTCCATTTTTCTTCCAGATGCAGCCACTTGTAGTCGCCAGTTGGACTAGCATGGCATTAAACAGCATTTTGTGTTTCAGTGGATATTTACAAACCTTGGTCTGATTAGCTGCTTGATGTTGAAAATGCTTCCCTAACTGTGTAGGAAGGCTGTTGGCTTTCAGAGAGGAAGGTGTGCAGATAGTTGAGGCCAGGAGACAGACAGAGCCTTTGATTGAGACAAATGAGAGGTAATCAGTCAGTCGGCACACGGGCTTGGGGTTTGGGGTGGCTAGCTAATCGGGCAGTTCACACAAACGGCCCTGCAGGGGTTCTTTGGCAGGTTAAGTGGTCTGGCCATTCATGTCAGGAAGGAGGTTGGGACAAGAAGTTAATGAGTTGAGTGGAGACCTAATTAGGAGGCAGGGTTCCAGGGTTGTAACATGCTAGAGTTATGGCAGGAAATGCAAATGGAAAGTCCCACAGACACTCTGACTGTCTCGGCCTTGATCACAAAGAACAGCTGCCAGTTAGGCAGGCTCCAGGTGGATTCCACTAGGACAGTGGCCTCAGCAGCTCAATACAAGGATATTTAGTAAGGGAGTAAGAAACCTCACTTCAAAGCACTAAAGGTTTCAGTTGGTCTTCATCATGAAAATTTGCTGTACTACAGTAACCTCATTGAGTTCGTGACTCATTGTGACTTCAATGGTTGACAATTAAGATGATCTGAGCCAAATCATTGTCTGAGTAGAGTATAAAGGTATACAACTGTTATAAACAGTTCATTTTACAAGCACTAGAGCTTTCTGCATGCTGAAAGGTTATGTCCAGCCTATTTTGTTTTAATCTTGAACTTTTGATCAATTATTAGATTGTCACTGACATTTGGTTCATTTCTATAATTTAAGTTTTAATTAGTTTTAACATTGGCACACAGTGGAGCGGACTGAAATATCCAGAAGTTAGAAAACACAGATTGAGATCAATACCAATTTGTAATTGCGATTTGTTAATCAGCAATAGTAGAGCAAGAACTGTACCTGAATTCCACAAACACCCATACCATCTTAGGCCCATTATAGTTGGATAGTTATTGGAAAATATCTTAGTCACTGTGTGGCATTGTTTCAGACTCAAAATGGTGAGTTCTGGACTTTTGCTCTGAAAGTTGCCTTTACTGGTTGTATACTCCGTTCACTGTATATTTAATGCTGATTCACACTGAGGAGACCTGTTCCATAGTCTGTGACCGAGTTTGCAGTGGAAGCTGTGATTACCCATCCAAAGTGTTCATCGTATGGTTTAAAGACAGATCTTTACTGAAGAAACCACAGAGAAGAGTTTTGTATGATGTAGAACAGTGGATGTGTGAATATGGAATAAACTACCCAGCCATGTTGTTGAAGAATATACAGTATTTTAGCTGATTTCAAGATACAGCAGGTTTGCATACAATTATTTAATATACGTTTTTTATAAAAATGTAGTAATCCAGTGAAGTCAGACAATATAGATTAAATCTCCTCTTTTATTCCCAATTATTTCAGCTCCAGGCGCTGTCCAAACACCTGTGAGCCTGAAATTATCTTTCTAGACTTATAAGGCTAGGTATTTAAGATATTCCCTGAAAAAAAGCAGTGTGGCAGTGTTCAGAATTCCTGGGATAAGAGTTCTCACTTTTATCTGGAATGGCGGCAGAGCCCAGAGTTCATGATAACCTGGGTCATTCTAATGAATTCATGATGAATTATGTGATTTCCAAGAAAAATAACAATACTGAGACTGAGGCTTTCTTGGCCACACTGGAAATTAAATGAACCTTTGAAAAATGATGGCAGTGCGCAGAAAAGAAATATCAGCAATATTTCTTTCAAGTTAATCAGAACTGATTGTTCAATTTGCCAGTAAATGAATCTCATATTTGCTGTCAAAATGCAGTTCTCTCTCCTGCCCTGGCTGATGTGTTTACTTATTTTTCTGTGATTTACTTTGGAAAGTCTAGACCTTTACATGGCAAAATATCTTTTTGCCTTTTAATAATATTTTCTGTAGATTTCGTGTGCAATTTAAGAATCTGCGTAGGTCCTCGCTTGCATTTGAATTGTATTAGTGTTCATATCACATGTTTCGCATGGCAGTTATTGAGTACAAGGCTGGATTTATCTTTTCATTTAACGCATAGAACTCTCTCTACTGAGATTATACTGCTAATTAATTACAAAAACATATTGTAACACACATGCTGTGAAAGTCGCTTTTTTCTCTCATATCTAATGAAATTCAAATGCATTTTTACTATTCCCATAGAAAAGTGGTGATTAAAGACAGAAAACCAGAGTAGTTCTTGAGACTAAATTAGCTGTTTGGTGTTAGTGTGTATGTGAAGTATTCATCCCTCCGGGGAATGAGCTAAAATATTTAGCTTTTTTAGGGGAAATGTATGTTTGTAGTATTTTAACAAGGGGAGTTCACTTTTTTGCAGAGGGGACCATCTTTTGTAACAAGAGGACTGCTAATTTTAACAAGGGGGAGTGAGATTTCTCTTTAGTTTGATCTCAGGATAACTTCCAAATAGGACCACTGTTTGCCAGGATTGTTCAATAGTTTAATAGAAGAAGTACTGGTAATAAGTAATTTGACATATTTAATTGAATAACTGCTAAGCTTTCTTCACAAAGGGATATCATTTACATGTGCAGGTGTAGATATTTTGATCTGTAGGTCTTTTTTATTTAAAACTAGAACAAATTAACACATCCCAGTTTGCTTTTCAGTCATGGCTTTCCTATTTGACAAAAAGCAGAAACTGTATTCAAAAGTATCACGATAATACGATTCAGGTGTAGTTAAAATCTGTGGCTCAGATGTACTAAAGGTTTGCTTTACAAGTTATAAACCTGTCACAGATCAATCGGTAGCATGATATATAAGAATCAGTCATTTTTAAGAACTCTGAAAAGCATATCTCCTGCTGTCCTGCTTCCTGCTCCTGCTTCTCTAGTCCTGGCCACTGTAATTGCCACAGAGGATAAGGAGACAAGTGAACCAACTTTTTCCAGCCTGGACTGTGAATGCCGTAGTTAAGAAGTCCCTGGTTTTTCACCATTCTGTTATTTGATTTGAGAATGGACAGTTTTAAATCGGCTCTTTAAAAAACAATATTGGACTTCCAGATCCAATTTTCATTTCCTGCCTTTTGCTTCATTGCTGGTGTTGGGATGTGGTCCCTGTGAGGCAAAGAAGCATACAGGCTGGAGTATAATATACAGACACTGTTTATTCAGAAAACTGTTAAAATGTTAAGCTTGCTCAAGTGTCACGAAATATGTTTCAATTAGTATATAACGTGTTTTGGCACTTTGATGCATCTCAACTGTAAACGGCATTATGTTCATGCTTAGTGCATCTGGAAAACATTGTCTTTTTCTGCTGCAGTTTGCAGGGACCCTGTCAGATGGGCTGGGTAAGACCATGGACAACCGCCATCAGACAGAGCGAGAGTACATCCGTTACCATGGCGCCACGAGTGGAGAGCACCTCGTGGCAGGGATTCATGGGCTAGCTCACGGTAAGTGGCAGGACCAGAGAGATGGCAAGTCTGGATCGTTTCGCCTGAGATCAGTGTAGTCATTTAAAAGACTTTGTTTTGTTTTAACACGAATCTCTCAATGTACTTTGCAGTCAGTGTTACAAAGAGCGTACAACAAAAAATAAAATAGAGGAATAGCACAAGAACACAAGAATAACACAAGAAGCATTGTATTGAAACAATTAAGAAAGGCAGAAAGGAATATATGTAATGTGAAGTACCTAAATTAAATATTTAGGTATTAAATAAAATAATTATACTGAGAAGTGGTGTGGTGGTTTCAGTAATGGAAAGCAAAAGAAGGCTTTTAAAGTCTAATTTGTCCTGTTGCTAAGGTAAGAAATTTTATGACTTGGAGTTTTTCAGTTCTAGGCCTGGTTCTGTCACTTAGTCATTGTTTGTTACTTGAGAAAGCTACTTAACCTTGTTGTTCTTGGTTCTGTGGATGAGACATAGCAACTAGCATCCAGGAGAAGATGCAGCAGTATTGGTTGAGCAAATCAACCACTTGTGTTTTGTGTTCTGCAGGTATCATAGGCGGTTTGACCAGTGTCATTACCTCAACTGTGGAGGGGGTGAAGACCGAGGGTGGTGTTAGTGGCTTTTTTTCTGGCCTGGGCAAAGGGCTTGTTGGCACAGTCACCAAGCCTGTGGCAGGAGCCCTGGACTTCGCTTCAGAAACAGCCCAGACTGTGCGTGACATGGCCAGCCTCAGTAATCACAGGTATGTACAGAAAGCATTTTCTTTTCTAAATTTGTATTTTTTGTTGGACATTCGTAAAATAATTTGTTTATCTACAAGCATTTGTTTTGTTTTTAATTAAAGCACTGCACTGCAGTAGAACACATGACAAAAGTAAAAACAAATCTCCCAGTAAATTGGCCAAAGAAAACAAAATGCTGATTCAAAAAGTACAGTAAAAAGATAAATATTTAAGCATGGTTTAAAAATGTCCTGTCAGAATCTCTAATGGATTAGGACAATGACAGTGTTCCACAATTGTGGAGATGAACAAGAGAAGGCTGTGTCACCCATTGTGTGTAACCTGTTTTTGGCAGAGTAAAAAGACCTGAATCAGCAGATCTCAGGTCATTTAGGACTATACTCATGGAGTAAGTCTTTACGGTATCTAGGAGCTAGACTTTTCTTATGCAGTAAGTTCTTAAGGTAGCTTTCAGTTAGGCTCTTCAGTACCGTATATGTATGTAAGCAGCAGAACCTCAAATTCTTAATTTAACAGGGATCCAGTGCACTTTTCACATGACAGGAGTTTTATATATATACTGAGGCAGAGTAGTTTTAGTTAACACATGAGCTGCGGATTTCTCAACATACTTAAGTGTGTTATTATCTTATTAGATATCCCATTAATTAAAATGTTAAAGTAGTCTAACCGTGCTAAAATAAGACGTTGATTTTTTTCAGCATCAGATAGAATAAGGACCTTACCTGCACTGTGTTATGTAAATGGGGGAAAAATTACACCTTTTGATTAACACCAGCTCTTCGTGGTTATGAGCATGCTTGTGAAATTACGCTTTACTGATTTTTACATATAATTTACAAAATATGAGCCAAATGAATAAATGTTAAGCAGCTGCTTATAGGGCATAAAATTTGAAGATTGAAGCAAATTCCGCAGAATAAAGAATGAAATAAAATTCCAGACATTCTTGTTTAGCTCTTTATTTTCTGATTCCAGTTTTCATTATATGCTTTTAGTTACGGCTGTTTAATAAAAACATATGCAAGTTACAAATAAAAATTCCTCCTAAATCTGTATTGCATCTTGGCTGCTCGTAGGTGCCTCAGTATCTTACGTGTACCATTCAGAGACGTAAGAGAACATACTGGAAATCTGTTTTTAGGACAATCTACCTATAGTAGATTGTCTAAACCAATCCAAATTGGACCCTGTTATATGACATGAATGAGAATGCTTCATGAATGAGCTCAATCAAAATAGATGTATTTTATTATTGTGGTTGGTTCTGATAAAACATCAGTGAGTATTGAAGAAGTTCGAGTAGGTAGCTGTGTCAGCATGCATAGCCTGCCAAGCTACAGGTTTGATCCGTTCTGAAAGGTGTGTGCTCCACAGCCAAAACTCTAGTGATACCTTAAAACACTGCAGCACAACAGAGATCTGTTATATGCGCTGCTTCCTTTCCAAGCTTCTTTTTGACCTTCATTAAAGAACATTGAGCTTGGTGAACTTTTATTATCAGCTTGAACTACAGGTTGTATTTGCAAAAGGTGTCTGGTATGTAAAGTGTATCTGTAAAGAAGCCAGGAGTCCTTACTTGCTACTTCAATGGGGTCGCTTTTCAAAAATGAAAATTGCAGGGCAGGACCCGGAGTGAGGTGGTGTGCAGTTTTCTGGGCCGGCAGAAAGAATGAATTACTTTCCTGTCCTCCCAAGTCACACAGGCTGATAGCGCAGTGGAGGGAGGGAGAGGTGTGTGTGAAAGGATGAGACCTCCGGGTGAACTGTGTTCCCGTGAGCTCGGTGATCAGAGGGAGGTTGTCGGAGCGTGCCTGAAGCAGTGTGCCCGTGGGTTCAGCCAGAGTTCACACAGGAAATTTACGTGATGTGCTGCCCTCAGCGGGCACAGCCTGCCTTACCAAGGCAGTGTGGCACAAAAACAAACACCCACATGTACAAAGCAAGGGCTTCGTATTAAAGCAATAAATGCAGCACTCAGGACCTCTTCACTGCTGTTTGCAGCCCTGCTATTGCCAACATGCAGCTCTGCACAACAGTATCTCTTCAAGGCAAGAGTGGCATTGAGGTTTCTGCTCTGCGATTGTACTACTGTGCAATAGTAGGCAAACCATACAGTAGGAGTAAGAGGGATGGAAATATATTTACACCCATTCTGATACTTACGACAGATAACTGTTTAAAAGCTATAGTTTTATCAGTTTGTTTTTTAGTTTATAACAGGTATGATTAAAGTGATTTCTCAGAAATTAATGTGATAAATAATGAGCAAAAACATTCAGGAGAATTTCTCTCTTCTCATGTTGGAGCTGTGGTTAGGGATTACAATAGTTTCACATTGTCGTAGCGGACACCAGCACACCCCAACTGTTCATATCATCAGTCGTGTTCCAGTTGACTTTACATAACCCATGAGAGATTTTGTTTGTAGAATACAGGCAATATTTCGTTTTGTCTCAGAAATAACACACTTGATTGTATAACCACTCAGATGGACTGCAGTGCCTTCTGCTTTCATCTGATAGCCGAATTCTCCCGGCAGCGCTCACTACAGTACTACATAGGGATTCAGATCACAACAAAAAAATGTAATGCAAATTTGCATGCTTAGATCGCAAACAGGAAACAAACAAGTAAATGAAAAGCAGACGGCAACTGTGAGCTGTGTTTCTGTGCTGAAGGGATTGTGGGATTGTCCGCACTCGTTGTGCTCTCCTGGCCTCCCAGTGAACTCTCCCCCCCTTCCCCACCCCACCCCTCTCTAGTCTCACATGCATACGCTCCTTAGAGCATACTCCAGGCACAGATCCAGGGCCATCTCGGTTACAATCCCAAAACAAGCAGGGGGGTATAATTTGGGGAGGGGGGGGCGGGTGCAAGATTTTGATCTGATTTCAGCATTTTTTTCTGTCACTTTAGATTGCATTGCATAGCTGCTCTTCTTCAGTAAAGAGCTCGCTCTCTTCTGGTACACCGTGTGTCATGTTTGTTACAGCCATTGAAGTTAGTGAAGGCAATTCCAAGAGTCTCTTTAAAAATTAATCCAAAGGGATTGCACATTACATAGTGTTTAGATAAAGAAATACTGTATATAGCTGTACCAAAACATTGCAGAATAACAACCACAACACAGAAGGCTGCTGATGTGTCTCATGCATTAGACTATATGAAAGTACTCTGGGCCCCTTCATTTGTTTTTCATGAAGGAAATAGGAAATCCAGGGTGGTCCCATGCAGGTATTGTCTCGCAGCAATAAATTGATGTCAGTATTTTTTGCTTTGGTCCTTCGGTTAAAACATAAGCTCTAATGTTCCTTGCAAGTCTCCTTAATTAACCATGCTTTTCCACACAACTTATATATCCGGTGATACCGGAAAAAAAACGTAGAGCACACTATAGAAAAGAGTTAGAAAACTTAAATCTTAACAGTTATTAAAATAGATTATATGTTGTACTGTAGACAAGATAAGTAAATGATGCCTGGAGGAAAAAAAATGTTTAGAAACATTTTAGGCTTCATAACCTTTGGTTGGAATATTTTATTCTATAACATCTTACTGGATATGAAGTCATCATATTTTGGGAATTGTTCTTATTAATATGAAGGAAAAGCTTGTTTTAGTTTCCATCAAGACTAATCCTGAGGGTGAATGTGAAAGGGGGAGTTTGGTTTCTGACTTTTTCAGGAACAATACAAAAAATTAAACTTACTTTGCTCTCAGCAATTAAGCAATTATTGTACATTGAAAAGAGATGTCTGACCACACAGACTATCTGGGCTGTATTACTAACTCACTTAAAATGATGATGCAATTAATGAAATCCAAATAAAAATATGGACTGTTTTGTGACCTTTCTTCTGGTTGATATTTCTGTCCTGTGCAGCAAAACAATATTAGATTCAGTGCTTTCCGTCATTAATACAAATACTTCAACTCACAGCAGTTTCATGTATGAGAAACAAAGCAGTCTTGACAGTGACATCCCTCTAGTTTTTTTAGTTAATCGTATTAGATAAGATAAGATCACTTTATTAGGCATATATTATTTCTTGAATTAGGAATTTGTCTTTTTGCATGCCCCAGCTTGTTCTCCGTGTGACACACAGGCACGCAGACGGGGAGAGAGAAGCTTGGGGTCAGACCGTATGATGGCCATTGGGTATTTTCTCTTAATGCTTATTCAGCAGCAATTCCCCCACTTTCTCACAAAACAAACCCTGACTTTAACTCTTTCTTATGGAGATACGAACAGCCCAGTTTAGAAGGAAGGGGACGTTTTTGTGACTGTTCATTCAAAGAAGAACCTTGTGTTTTAGCCATCCAGCTCTTGTCTGAGTCGTTCAGATCGTTTCCGCTGGGAGATCAGGAATGAAAAATGGGGCGAGTTTCTGCAGTGTTTCAGGAAGCTCTCATTGAGGTATGGGTAAGGATGGATGTGTGCGAACCACGGTTTACTGGCTCACAGGGCCTGAATGAAAGGGCTGCTAAGCCAAGAAAAGAGCTGAGCTAATGCCCCCCCAGTGTGTACTGAAGCTCTCTGGGAAGGGAACGAGAGGGAAAGGCTCTTTCTTTGGTCCCATTGACGGCTGGTTGGCCTAACGCCAACCCTAGAGGCTGACCTGGAGTTGAACTCTATTGTTAAAGCACAGAGCGGAGTGTGGAGCATAGTGTGAGAGTTGAAGCGTGGGGTGGTGGATAGGCTGGGGGGGGGGG